TGCCTGCCTGCCTGCCTGCCATCCATCCATCCATCCATCCATCCATCCATCCATCCATCCAATCCTGCCTTCCCTTCAGGAGCTCCAGGCAGCATACACAGCGCCTTCTTCCCATTTTTTCCCACAACGCTAACTTCATGGAGTAGGCTTGGCTAAGAGAGGGTGACAGGAACAAAGCCATTCTTCCATGGCTGAGGATGGACTTGAACATGGGCCTCTCTAGTGCCAATTTAATGCTTTAATCACTATACCATATTAGCTCTCATCAGTTTCTAAACTGTGAAGCTAAACCATTTGAACTATGTATAAACATAGGTTATGATACAATGGTCAGCCAGGTCCAATATCACTTTTTAAACCTTTTTTGTAAATATGCCAGATTATAGGTTTCTTTTGACAATCTTCATCTCAGAAAAGCTGTAGCTTGGGAACTTGCTATAAAGAAAGTTATTAAGGGCCTGGGATACATAGAACTAGTTTTGCGGCAGTTCATTTTGTAAACTATTTAAAGCTAATTTCGTTTCTGTGCTGTGGTGCTTTCTTTCCTTTCTTCTTTAGGCACATCCTAAAGTATGTGACAAATTAAAAGCATTAATGGTAGAATGGTCAGAAGAATTTCAGAAAGACCCCCAGTTTAGCTTAATATCAGCCACGATTAAATCTCTTAAGGAAGAAGGGATTGTATTTCCTACAACTGGGTCACAGGTAAGAGATTAGATTTTATTTATGTCTACAAAAGTTTGAGGTTTTGGCATTAACAGGACAATGACTGAATTTAAATGCTGAATGTGAGTTCTGTCCAGGGGTAGCCACCTACTTTTTAATGGGATCCGTCAATAAGATAAATTTTTCTTCCCACAAGCACTCCCCACACTTGTGCCACAGACCTGGTAGATGCTCTGGGACACTCAGGGCAAATGCACCTTGGGATGAGCAGAAGCCTGCTTATATAATATTACTTGCCTCATAAATACCTGGTTTTAACACTGACAGGACTTTTCAGAGTTGGGTTATACTGTATGTTGAAGTGAGAATGATTACTGTAGAACATTGATCCTGCTTTTGAAAATAAAATATATAAGAGCAGTTAATAGATCTAAAATACAATTATATTAAATGAAGCAGTAAAATGGCATCACTGTATAATATTCATGTTGCTTAGACAAGGAACTTTTCGGACCAAATCCAAATGTATAGGACCAGGTATATAGCAGCTTTAAAAACAAGGAGATATGGTTTGCTCATATTGAGCTGCTTGAACGGAGGGAGACTGTGGCAAGTATCAGCAGCCATTTGTTGTGAAAAAAAATGGTTTAGTCTAATAGGTAGCAGTCTTTCTCCAGGACCAGCTCAGTCTATTACTTCTTTTGTTTAACAGTCAATATCTGACTTTGGTTCATTTCATAACAGTAATGGCCAAAACATGGTAATTGCTCCAAGCACCTGTTGAGTGTGATTCCTATGGCTTCTGGCTTTAAATAGTTCAAAACCGCTTACCACAAGGTAAGCTAAATTAACACCAGTATTGTTTTCAAAGTGCAGGCAAATATAGAACTTTTCCCACTTGAAGTAGCATATTTATATTGCAAGTACATTTACAGAGTCCCTCGGCTGCTGCCAAGAATGGTGCATCATCAAGCAAAAACAAAGAAGAAGAAGATATAGCTAAAGGTAAAATATTAGTCATCATTTCTTGAGTGATATAATATTTTACATGTTTCTACATTTGTATTTGGGAACATGCTTGATGGTTAAAATGTATAACCTTCTCCACTAAGCGTAAATGGAACCCTTGCTGTAGCAAGTAGTAGCAAAGAAAAGTTTGAGCAATTGTGTTTTTAAAGGAAGCAAGGGAAACTATAAGGAAACAGATGTACATCTCAGAAAATATATGTTTTTTTTTAAGCTATTGATCTCTTTGGAATTCTTGGGATGTTTGCCATCTCTTAAAACAATTTTCTAAAAGCATTAGCACTTTACGTTACAACTTGTCAGGTTCTGACTTTTGTTATTTTTAAATATTTTACACGTTTTTGGTTTTGAGTTCTTAGATGCTCATAAACCTAGCTAACGAATAATAGAATGTGTATAATTCCTTATGAGTTGGATTTAATTTCACTTTCATAATATAAATTGTATATTGATTTCATCAAAGCAGTTCTTTGAGAAATCTTGGCTTACACTTTGTGTAGTTAGTTTCTTG